ACTTAATTACGAAGTGGCCAGATAAATTTTGAAATTATGCTCGCATATTAACACACACGGGACGTTTAGGAATATCGGTCTACATATAATTAATTAATAATAGAAAATACCAAATTAATATTTACATAATATTATTTCCTGAAACCAAGGGGATTCTGCTAACTTTTAAGATTCCTTTTAGTGGACTTTTGAACTAATATTAGAAAATCTGAATGATATTAAGAACACAAATCTGTAACAAGGCATTATTGTTGTTTCAAAATTTAGCATTATCATCATCACTATCATAAAACTAGAATATTGCTTCTCAACTATTTTCAAACAACAATTGAATATACAGAGGTCTTCCTCTATCCCATACTGATCCTGATTTTGCGTCTAGTATATTTTTAACTAGTCCACCGTGTCTCAGTAAGTACCACCTTCCACTTCCAATAAATTAAATTTGAATTTAACTCCTTGAAGGTTTTAGGAGATTTTTTGACATTTTTTTCAAGTGTGTCTGTATAGTGAAGTTATCATCATCATAAGGTCATCAGTCCTAAGACTGGTTGGACACGTACCTCCACTCTTCCTATCCTGAGCTAAACTTCGCATTTCCCTAAAACTAGAACAGGCCACATCCTTAACTATTTGCGAACAGTAATCTAATCTAGGTCTACCTCTACCCCTCCTAACTCCTGTTTCTGCCTCTAATATGTCTCTGACTAGACCTTCATGCCTGAGAAGGTGTCCTACCAACCTATCTCGCCTATTTTTTATTGACTTCCATAGAGTCCTCTGTTCTCCTATTCTTTCTAATACCTCTTCATTTCTAACCTTTTCTACCCACGATATCCTCATCATCCGCCTATAACACCACATTTCGAACGCTTCTAACCTTTTCTTTTCCGCCGCTCCCACTGTCCATGTTTCGCACCCGTACAACGCCGTGCTCCAAACATACACCTTTAACAACCTTTTTCGAATTTCTAAATTAACCGTTCGCGAGCATAGAAGTGACTTCTTTTTATTAAAGGCGACACGACCCTGCGCTATCCTCTGCTTTATATCCCTACTACTCCTTCCATCCTCACTTATCTGACTTCCTAGGTATCTAAAATCAGCCACTTCTTCTAATCTTTCGCTTCCTATCTTTATATTCGCTCTTTCCCTACTTTTTCTTTCCTTGCATACCAGTATTTTAGTTTTACTTTTATCTACTTTCATACAGTAGTGATCTGTCAGTACCGCTTCCATTGTATTTAAAGCTATCTCTAACTCCTCCTTGCTAGAGGCTAATACTGCTATATCATCTGCAAATCTAAGCATACTAATCTTTTGCCCTTGCACATCTATCCCTATAGTGAAGTTAAGGTAACCAAAAGTCATAATTAAGTTTTACTGGCAGCATACGATACGCTTCACTTTATTTGCCTATGTCATAGAAGACGGTAGGAAAAAAATATCATAATCCATATTGTAACTAACTTAAATAATAACAACAATACGTGAAGCAGTTGTTGCAATTAATCATTTTGGAAATCCTTCGACTGCATACAATGACCGTTGAGGACAATTGCAACCAAAGGGATAATACAGTTTCCAAAGTACTTCTCCCTGATCGTGAGACCAGAAACTTAAGACAATGGCTAGTAAGAAAGGGCAGAAATCCGGCTACGACGTTTCCGGTCAAGCTCTCTCCGTGAATTAGTGGATTGTTTGCTATCGGATGTTATCATAAAACTTGATGGATTTCCAACTCGCCAACGAATATACAATTGTGATTCTATATTACAGATTGCATAATACTTATTGCATATACGTTATTGCACATATTTAAAAAAAAAGAAAGGAAATTTTTATGGTTCTTCTTGGTATTTCTGATATTTAGGATAAAGTATAATTGTTGTTGTTCCAAGTTAAATCCAAATTAAAGAACACGTAACACGACTCATCATCACAATATCGTCAATCGTAAGACTGGTTGGACATGCATCTCCACTTCTTCCTATCCTGATCTAATTTTAGCATTTCCCTAAAACTAAAACAGCCCACATCCTTAACTATTTGCAAACAGTAATCTAATCTGGATCTACCTCTACTCTTCTTAACTCCTGTTTCTGCCTCCTCTGACTAGATCTTTATGCCTGAGAAGGTGTCCTACCAATCTATCTCGCCTATTTTTTATTGACTTCCATCTGTCCTCTGTTCTCCTATTCTTTCTAATATCTCTTCATTTCTAACCTTCTCTATCCACGGTATCCTCATCATTCCAATGCTTCTAACCTTTTCTTTTCCGCAGCGCCCACCGTCCATGTTTAACACCTTTAACAATCTTTTTCGAATTTCTAAATTAATCGTTTGCGAGCATAGAAATGACTTCTTTTTATTGAAACCTACTCGACCCTGTGCTATCCTGTGCTTTATATCCCTACTACTCCTTCCGTACTGACTTATCTGACTTCCTAAATACCTACCTAAAATCAGCTACATCTTCTAATCTTTCGTCTGCTATCTTTACATTCGCTCTTTCCCAATTTGCGAAACTTTACACACACAATAATAGGTATGTACGTATTAATATTTTTTCGGTTTTTACCCAAATTGAAACCACTTTCGTTCATCTGTCCGAACATGTGTGGCGTAAGTTGCCTTTTTTTTTAACTTTTCATGATATTATAAAATTCGTGCATAAGTACCTTTATTTGTACCTACGACTGGATTACGCAACTTGACCCGGTTTACTTACGTTTCAGAAATACAATAATATTATAATGCAATAGAAATTAAACATGACGAAATTATGTCCAGAACACGCTTAAGAAATTAAAAATTTATGTCGTTTCGGGTGTCGCAAGTTGCTGTTTTATTTCAACTTTTGTGAAATTTTCTTTTGCATATTACCAGTAGATAATGACCAACACGTCGGCAAAAACAACCACCTGGAATTATTGTTGAAATAAAATTGTAGTTAATACTCTCATTAGCTAGAAAATTGCAGGTGCAATAATTATTTATATGCTCTGGAAATGGACACCAAATTCCCGTAAAAACTCAATAAAGAAGCCACATTGTAGTTTACAAAATAGCAACACTAATTAAAAAAAAAATGCACCAATAATAGATAAAGTGTAGCAGTTACGACTATATAAAATTTTTACCGCTTAGGTCATATTAAAAGTTGCATTAATATTACCGTATTCATACATCAAGAAATATGCTCAAATAATATCTGAAATATATCAGCGGAAAAACTCAAATTTAAACGATATCGTATATGGTAATAACTCGGGCATTCCAAGTCATTGAACCATTTGAAGACATGTTAAGGGCGATTTAAAAATACATATATTTATTAATTATTTAAAACTTATTTCGATAATTTTGGTAACCAAAGTGGAGGTACCAAGTTATCTGGATTTATACGAGGTGTGACAACTTTCCGGAGTTTAGTTATAACATCCCATGTACCAGCACTACAGGTTTCGGGCTCATCTTGTTGCAAACATTAAACCTTCCTTTAGTAAGTATCAGTAAAAATTTGAAGACGGTAAGTCGTTTCGTACGTATGATTTTTCCTGACGCCACAAAGATGAATAACTCGAATCAAAAACAACGTGTCAAGATACAATTTTTAGTGAAATTGGAAGAAAAAGCATCTGAAATCCTCCATTAAATGGAAACCGTATTTGGGAACGAGTGTTTGCCTAAAATTCCTGCATCAGCCGTGGGTAGAAGTAGGGGAAGACTGGCCTGCGAAAGCAAGGATATGTCCAAGTCCAAGATGAAGAAAATGCTGATCGTTTTTTCGAAATTTTTAGCATTATCCACCTCTAATACGTTCTTTTTGATCAGACAATGACCCTTACGACTTTTTCTCTTCCCAAAAATGAAATAACACTTCAAGGATACTCATCCTGACGACGTAGAAGCAGTTGTGACGATTTCAAAATAAAATTTTGAACAAATTCCGCGGGAACTTAATTGCCACACCTCGTAAGTTGTCGTACTATTTGTCTTAGTCGATTCTGTTGTCCATATCCTAATATTGTTGGTTTCCTGATGCGAGAGGGCGCGCATCCTGCCGCCATCGGCAGTCGCCAGCCCGTCCGGTCGGTTCTACCATCTAACTGTTAGCATAATCTGTTGTGCTAATCAATTAATCATTGGACGAACAATAACGCGCCATGGTGACTGATGGCTAATCACTAACTCGACCTGCATTGTCGACTATGTCGCGTAGCTCGCCGTCATCCACGGTCCAGCGGATTTCATAGCGCTAGCCTAAATATTTGACGCGTGAAATCTAGGTACATACAAAGACAACATCATCAGAACCGATCCAATTTTTCTTTTTCTTTTTGTTTAGATTGAGTTCCTACTATTTTATGAAAAATACGGATTAATTTATTAAAATAATGAGCTTTCTTATTCTCTGTCCCTATTCCGAGCTTTGGGAAGCTGATTCCAAGATGATAAAAAGAATCTTTTAAATCTACCCATAAAACACAGGAATCCACTCGTAATTCACCCAAATATTTTTTAAATATTATTGGATGTTGTCGTGGTTGTTTGGCCTTTCTGGCCGTCGTCTTTTAAGGTTTATCCTCTACGTTTCGTCGCTACACAGGGACAACATCTTCAGGAGATATTACTGCTGCTGTAGTCAGTAGAGATCTGACTTCTGACGAATATCTCCTGAAGATTTCGTCCGTGCGTGGCTACGAAACGTCGAGAATAAACCTTGAAAGACGATGACCGCGAAAGCTTGAACCAAATAGTATTGTTGGATGTTTATTATAGATATTAAATATTATTAAAAAGCTCTAAAATTAATACCTACCTTCATGAAGTTATAATTTAGCCATTATGTATTACAACTTAAACAAGTCGCTGTTTTTTTACAATCAAATTCCTTCTTCGCTTTCTTCAAGGAATGAACGCAGTGTTACGGCCTAATGTACCTATTGTTATTGTCAGTATTTTTTCATGACCGTTAGTTTTTTTTTTTATTTCAGATGAGAATCGAGATATCAATGGTCATCAGGATGACGAAATTAAGAGGCAGAGATCGCAGTATAATGGAGATCAGCTTTATTCGAATGTGAGTATTTTATTTTATTAGTTTTGACGGCGTCAATTTTCTAATCGTCTTGATTTCAATCGCTGATTATATCATAATACATAAATCGTTTAAGTGTATACCTATTATGTATTTCGTTCAGTAATTTATTTTTTAATCGTCTTGGCAATTAAAGACACTAGCTTTACTTTTGAATTTTGTTGAGAGCGAATATTTGTTTTCAAATTAGTTTACCATGAAGCTATTTTATTAACTAATTTAAAAGAACAGATATGGAGTATTTTGGTAATACTATGCGTAGAAATTATTTATCAATTTGTTTGCTTTTTGCATTTTGAGAATTGTTTCTGTAAAAGTAATTGATTATTTTTTCATATTTCGATTGATTTTATTTTTATCAAATAAAACCGATGACGTGCAATGTTATAACAGTATACATATAATGTGTATTAAATGTAAATTTTAGTTTATTTTTACGGTAAAATTCTCGGAAAGGAGCGCGTTTTTTAAACAATTTCGCTTTCACTAATCTTATTATCTTTTTCAGTACATGTTGACGCGGATGATGAAATTGTCTATATTAAACGCAAACAGAATGCAATTTCACACTTATCACTTTTTACCTTATAAAGTAATATGCTTCATACACGCGTCGAAAAACGGGATTGGTTATTATTGATACGGAAAAAAGCAATATCCGAAATACCTGACCTACATGAAAATTACAGGTTGTGAATTGTTATTAAAATTACCTGACGATCGTTTTTAAAAGAATATCTTATAGTAATAGAAAAAATAGGGATTAACGGTTTTCTGAAGTTAATTTTGTTGTAAGGCAAAAAACAACTAAGTGGTAAATACCTCAAATTTACATTCAATACAACAAAAAACGACAATGAAAAGTTAACGTTTTGTCATCTTGAAAATCTGAGTGAGTCAAAAGTAGACAAATTCCGTGTGGGTATGTAAGGATTCTCCAATAAATTCTAACTACCCTAATCGTTGTTAATCTCAAAACAATGTTTTTTCTTGTATCTTTCTCCTGTAGTTATGGTCAAGTAAATGGGGCATCAAAGAGGAACATAAGCTCCTGTCGGAGCTTGGTGGTCCAGGATCTGGAGTCAATCAGACGGGATACTACGACACCCATGGCGGTTTCTCAGCGGTCGGTCCGGTGTCTTCTGCGACAGACCTTTACGACAGTATTAGTACCATGAGTCAAGCGACATCCCAAAATATCTACCCCATCGCGGGATCGTTAGGTAAGTGGCATTTTATTAATCTTTACCTCAAGAAGTATATTTGTCTAGTTTTTAATTCCCTAATTTTTATAATTCTCATGAAGAAGAAATGATAAAGACAATTATCAAAGACTTTCATATTAGGGTGTAATGAAATAAATTAATTAAAAACAAATTTTTTTCAATCTAAAGATGGTTAAATAAACCGAAACGTTACAAATAACATATAGTTGTGTAATTATTTGATCGCCATCCTGGAAAAAACTGCATTAATTAATATGATTCTTAATTAAACCTTTTTAACAGTTTAATTATGTCAAACAGAGACTCTTAATTCAACTGTTAAACAGGTTGGGTTAGGTTACTAAATCTGGTCTTAGGCACAAGTCGTTATAATGAGAATTAAATTCTAACAGTTATCGGCAGTCGCCAGCCCGTCCGGTCGGTTCTACCATCTAACTGTTAGCATAATCTGTTGTGCTAATCAATTAATCATTGGACGAACAATAACGCGCCATGGTGACTGATGGCTAATCACTAACTCGACCTGCATTGTCGACTATGTCGCGTAGCTCGCCGTCATCCACGGTCCAGCGGATTTCATAGCGCTAGCCTAAATATTTGACGCGTGAAATCTAGGTACATACAAAGACAACATCATCAGAACCGATCCAATTTTTCTTTTTCTTTTTGTTTAGATTGAGTTCCTACTATTTTATGAAAAATACGGATTAATTTATTAAAATAATGAGCTTTCTTATTCTCTGTCCCTATTCCGAGCTTTGGGAAGCTGATTCCAAGATGATAAAAAGAATCTTTTAAATCTACCCATAAAACACAGGAATCCACTCGTAATTCACCCAAATATTTTTTAAATATTATTGGATGTTGTCGTGGTTGTTTGGCCTTTCTGGCCGTCGTCTTTTAAGGTTTATCCTCTACGTTTCGTCGCTACACAGGGACAACATCTTCAGGAGATATTACTGCTGCTGTAGTCAGTAGAGATCTGACTTCTGACGAATATCTCCTGAAGATTTCGTCCGTGCGTGGCTACGAAACGTCGAGAATAAACCTTGAAAGACGATGACCGCGAAAGCTTGAACCAAATAGTATTGTTGGATGTTTATTATAGATATTAAATATTATTAAAAAGCTCTAAAATTAATACCTACCTTCATGAAGTTATAATTTAGCCATTATGTATTACAACTTAAACAAGTCGCTGTTTTTTTACAATCAAATTCCTTCTTCGCTTTCTTCAAGGAATGAACGCAGTGTTACGGCCTAATGTACCTATTGTTATTGTCAGTATTTTTTCATGACCGTTAGTTTTTTTTTTTATTTCAGATGAGAATCGAGATATCAATGGTCATCAGGATGACGAAATTAAGAGGCAGAGATCGCAGTATAATGGAGATCAGCTTTATTCGAATGTGAGTATTTTATTTTATTAGTTTTGACGGCGTCAATTTTCTAATCGTCTTGATTTCAATCGCTGATTATATCATAATACATAAATCGTTTAAGTGTATACCTATTATGTATTTCGTTCAGTAATTTATTTTTTAATCGTCTTGGCAATTAAAGACACTAGCTTTACTTTTGAATTTTGTTGAGAGCGAATATTTGTTTTCAAATTAGTTTACCATGAAGCTATTTTATTAACTAATTTAAAAGAACAGATATGGAGTATTTTGGTAATACTATGCGTAGAAATTATTTATCAATTTGTTTGCTTTTTGCATTTTGAGAATTGTTTCTGTAAAAGTAATTGATTATTTTTTCATATTTCGATTGATTTTATTTTTATCAAATAAAACCGATGACGTGCAATGTTATAACAGTATACATATAATGTGTATTAAATGTAAATTTTAGTTTATTTTTACGGTAAAATTCTCGGAAAGGAGCGCGTTTTTTAAACAATTTCGCTTTCACTAATCTTATTATCTTTTTCAGTACATGTTGACGCGGATGATGAAATTGTCTATATTAAACGCAAACAGAATGCAATTTCACACTTATCACTTTTTACCTTATAAAGTAATATGCTTCATACACGCGTCGAAAAACGGGATTGGTTATTATTGATACGGAAAAAAGCAATATCCGAAATACCTGACCTACATGAAAATTACAGGTTGTGAATTGTTATTAAAATTACCTGACGATCGTTTTTAAAAGAATATCTTATAGTAATAGAAAAAATAGGGATTAACGGTTTTCTGAAGTTAATTTTGTTGTAAGGCAAAAAACAACTAAGTGGTAAATACCTCAAATTTACATTCAATACAACAAAAAACGACAATGAAAAGTTAACGTTTTGTCATCTTGAAAATCTGAGTGAGTCAAAAGTAGACAAATTCCGTGTGGGTATGTAAGGATTCTCCAATAAATTCTAACTACCCTAATCGTTGTTAATCTCAAAACAATGTTTTTTCTTGTATCTTTCTCCTGTAGTTATGGTCAAGTAAATGGGGCATCAAAGAGGAACATAAGCTCCTGTCGGAGCTTGGTGGTCCAGGATCTGGAGTCAATCAGACGGGATACTACGACACCCATGGCGGTTTCTCAGCGGTCGGTCCGGTGTCTTCTGCGACAGACCTTTACGACAGTATTAGTACCATGAGTCAAGCGACATCCCAAAATATCTACCCCATCGCGGGATCGTTAGGTAAGTGGCATTTTATTAATCTTTACCTCAAGAAGTATATTTGTCTAGTTTTTAATTCCCTAATTTTTATAATTCTCATGAAGAAGAAATGATAAAGACAATTATCAAAGACTTTCATATTAGGGTGTAATGAAATAAATTAATTAAAAACAAATTTTTTTCAATCTAAAGATGGTTAAATAAACCGAAACGTTACAAATAACATATAGTTGTGTAATTATTTGATCGCCATCCTGGAAAAAACTGCATTAATTAATATGATTCTTAATTAAACCTTTTTAACAGTTTAATTATGTCAAACAGAGACTCTTAATTCAACTGTTAAACAGGTTGGGTTAGGTTACTAAATCTGGTCTTAGGCACAAGTCGTTATAATGAGAATTAAATTCTAACAGTTTCAAAAAGAAATAAATTAAATAGGATCCCTTTATTATATTTATTTCTCTCTTTTTCCTAAGAATCAAAATTTTAATTTGGTTGGGTTTAGTACAGAAAAGTTGTAATTCAGGTAGCACTTGTCTTGCATCTTTAGCCCCAATCGCTATGCATGAAATGAAGGTTGAAGCAACTCGGATGCTAGAGCCTGCTTTGTCGCCGTATCGTACAGGTGAGACAGATACAAAAAAAAATGCCTTGAGGTGGATGGTCTTTCAACAGAACACGAAAATCAAAAAGAAATACACACGAAAACATGTTAATCTGAAAGTCACAATTTCTTCATTTCACGCCACTGTACTTGCATTTATGCATATCGTAATGGGAAGTGTTTCTTTTGTAGCATGTTGCTATATACAGTCGAGGCGAATTAATAACCGAACATAGGGATGATCTTTTACCTCTAAAGAGCGGCATCATCTTTTAAGAAATACGACATGATAAACCGAAATGTGTACAAATCTCTTCAATAATTTTTTCACATAAATGATATAATAATAAGCAATTTAAAGCCTTTAAGGTGTAAAAAGAAACTAATGCAAAATTTCTATGTTCGATAAACGTTTGCCTTATTTGTATAGTTTTTTATATTTGTTTTACCTTTTTAAACTGTATCCAATTTTACTACTGTTTTGCTATTTATTAGTGCACGAAACTACCTTGTAACTACCCCTTCCTTTTGCTTTGCCTTTTTTAATTTTCGCCTGAATTATTGTCTTTGAAAGTATTCAAAACTTTTTATCTATTGATTGTTTTTTTTTTTTCGTAATTTTGCAGTTAAAAATGCTAGTCATACGTTTCATTAATTTAATTCCAGCTTAAAGATAATATCTATAGATACGTAATATATTTGTATTGCATTTTAATTTTATCGTTTTTAATTTTGTGTTATATTATTTATTGCATGAAATAGCCGAAACTAATTCGCCGTACAGTGGCGTAGTTGGTATGGGAACGGCGGTGGACGGGGCTTCCCCTGGCCTGCCACTGGCCGTTCCTGCCGAACCCAGCAGTCAGCCCACTTCGCACACGGGATCGCCCGATCCCGCAGCCTTAACCGTACTACAACCCTCTAGTGGGACCTCACAGCATTACTCTACCATGCTGCCCAACTTTGGCTATTCCACAGGTACCATCATCAACCACCATAACCTCCAGGACATAATAAATTATTTTTACTGAACAAACTAGCACCTAGTTGCCAAAAATTTAAACGTTACGGTCCTGTCCACTCTTTTAAAATATATAATACCTAATAATGATAATTAAAGTTCATCTTAGTAGTAACTACCGCACTAGTTGAATTAAAGATAATTAAATTGAGGGTGTCGATACCGAATTATCAATAATAATAATAATGTTATCGTAATCACAAAACAGGAGTGAACAAAAGAATTTTTTTTTTGTTTGTGGGGATTTGGTAGGTAAAATTTGGTTTGCTTTTTTAGGAGCAACAACGGTTGTGCCAGGGTCGGACTACGCTTACAGCACCGCCTACAGTCAATACGGGGCTACATATGGGAATTATGGGTACGGGAGTGCATCCAGCGGGTTGCTCAGTAAGTAAACAGTGAGTATAATCGATGACCAGGTACCTTACAACCACAAAACTAACTTGTATGTCCCTTTTCGTACCGTATATTATTTTTCTCAAAAACTATGGGGTGATATACAATTAACCCCTACAGGATAAATCATTCTAGAGGGAGTGCTGACAAAATTCTAAAGATTTGGAGGATTCAGATCCTACTTGCATTTAATTCCAAGTCATACCATCAGCTATTTCAGTTGCAACTCAAAAATGGACAAGCAATCGTCTAAATGATCTGAAACTTTCAAAAGTTCTTAAAAATATCGCCCTGTGTATTGCAATTAAAAAGTAATTCTTGTTAAATTTCGTACACATTTTTCGATATTTTTCCCTTTATAAAATACGAAAAAAAAACTAAAAAAATTGTTTGTCATTTTAAAACAGATCCGGCAACATATTACTACACAACTAACGAAAATGTGGTAAATTCCGGTCCTGAACTAAACGGTCAGCAGCCGACCAGCGCAAGCAACCCCGAACAAAGTAGTAGATCACCGCTCGCGGCCACCAGGGCGAATTCGCTGGCGTCGGCAAACTCGCCCACGGACAGCGGCAGTGCCTGCTTGAAGTCCGAAGTTTTATTCACCACCGATCTAGACCTTGCCTAAGAAAAAAGTTTTTTTTGTGGGCAAAACAGAAACATTATTTTGAATGAATGAAAAACAAACCACTGTAAAATACCAACCCCATGAAAAACCTTTAGCCCGTACGTAGTTTAATTATTACAGTAATAATAATAACAATAATATTTTAATTACCTATGTACGTATTATATACATTGTAGATAAAAAAAAGATAGAGCAGTAACTACGCTGTAAAATATGTCAAGGCTTCTTCGAATAACTTTACGTTTTTTTTTCGTTCTTTCGATTAATTATGATTATTATATTATTATGTTATTATTAATTTTTGTCCAAGTCTGTCAACTTTTATTATTATTGTATTATCGAACTGAATCAATTTTCACGGACACTTACAATCCGTCGACTGTTCAGAAGGAAAAAAAAGGAAGAAAAAAATGACGTATTGTGGTCTCAAATGCATGACTATTTACCTATGTATTATTATAAACGTCCCTTCTTATTTATTTAATTTAAGCCCTTGAGTTACTAATTTTTAAGATTTTTATTATTTTAGTACTTTATAAGACACCAAAGATCTGTCTATAGATACATAAATTTTGCACTTTTAATCATATCAAATATGGCAGTGAAAAACTTTTTTCTTGTTTATTGATGATATTTTTTTTATATTATATCTATGTATTACCCTTTAAAATCACTCCTTTTCCTACTTGTTACTTATTTAGCTACCGGAACCTTACTCACTTTCCTATTAATTACGCAATTAACTCACTTAATCCAGTGATTACCTTTTTTCGATACTAAAATTCTTCTTATGTATTTAATACCAGCAAAATCCCCCAACTAGTCACTTTTAACGTACTTAAAACGAAAAATAATAACAGAAATAGAAAACAATTGATCTAATGTGTATAAGTGCAATACCATTTTGTACCATTGTTTAAATAAATAACACAAAAATTACAAACGAATGTATACATTAGATTCAATTGTTTCGAAAATATTTAATTAATATTTGTTATGTATCGTAAGAACAATCAAGTATTATTTTCATGGATAGTAATTTATTTTTATGTTTAAAATGTGTAATAGTATACCAAAGAAAGCAAGGCCTACTTGAAGCTGTCACAGATTTAAGTATTGTAAAATGTGATAGGCCCCAAACGTGTAAGGCCCCTCTTGCCCCTTAAATCTTTTTTTTCCTGTCACATTCACCCAACCTAGATGTAGGGAAATCTTTTAGAAAAATAAATAATAAAATCGACTACAAATTATTTTAACTGACCCATGTCTCCATCTCTACCCATCGCTAACACCTACACATAAGTTCCTTTTTTCTCCTTATCACACTGTTTACCGCCTAACCAGTCGCCACCTGTAGACCAATAGCAAAAACTTATGGCACTCAAGAGTACAGAAACTCTGGATTCACTTTGGCGCCATCTACCGACAAACTGCTTAACTAAGAGCGCCATCTAACGACAACCAGCTGAACTGAAGACCAGTTCTTAGCTGCAACGTCGCCCTCTAGCGGTATACAGCTGAACTAAAAGCCTGCTCGACTTCCTACAGCGCCATCTAGCGGAAATAAGCTGAACTAATGACTGTTCTTGACCAACACCAGCGCCACCTAGCGACAATCGGCTGAACTAAAGGGCCTTATCCACCTACTCCAGCGCCATCTAGCGGCATTAAGCTGAACTAATGACTAAATCTGACCTACACCAGCGCCACCTAGTGGCAATCGGCTGAACTAAAGGGCCTTTTCGACCTGCAGCAGCGCCATCTAGCGGAAATAAGCTGAACTGATGACGATTCTTGACTTACGACAGCGCCATCTTGCGGCAACCTGCTGAACTACAGGTTTAGTTCAGCTGGTTGCCGCTAGGTGGCGCCGTTATGGACGAATTTCGACGTTTAGTTTAGCGTGTTTCCGATAGAGGCGCTGCGATAGCTAAGGACTGCTCCAACTGGGGCAGCTCCATCTACCGGCGAATAGCTAAACTAATCGCTGTCGATAATGCAGTTTGTGTGTTGTGGCGGCATCTATCGGCTAATAGCCGAAGCTTGGTCGTTGTTTGGACGTCGTGAAATAAAAGATTGCTGTTCTTTTGTTATATTAGTATTCTTTATTATAAACGGTTAGACGGCGGAGGTGTGAGGCAATTCTATTTGAAATTAATATTTATTAAACACATTGTTTGGTATTATATTTGAGTTTTGCAGTTTATGTAACAATTGATCCTGTTTTATGGAAAATTTACGATGTTTATGAGGTTACTAAATACCAAAAAATTACCCTAAACATGGTTTGTGTTCTTATTAATTAATGATTACTGTCAATTATAAAAAGACAAGACCATCTTGCGGGTAATTTTTCGGGGCCTAGTCACCCTACAAAGAACAATTGGTTAATGAAATTGAGTTTTCCAAAAAAGTTCGAGGAGCAATTGTTAAACAAAATGAATAAAAGGAAAAAGGGAAGACGGTCTTTCCTACCCATGACAACGTGCTTAAAAACAGATATTTCATATTACGACATACAATACTTTTAAGTATATTAAACCTTCGCAATTATGTCTGGTATAGAACGAAATAAATCTTAAATTAATTACCGAAATACGAGAATCAATACAACAAGTGTATTACAGAAAGAAAGCTTGCAATATTCTGGTCAAAAAATAAATAAAATGAAATATATATATACCCTAAGAAATAGAAAATTCAATGTTGTAGTGGTCTGTTGGGTTGTTTTCCCAACGTTCCATCCACAACTGTGGTGGACGCTTTCATGGGCAATGTCGAAGTCTTCTCTGATGCAAAAAGGCGACAAGTGCACTCGGTGGACCAAGATGGGTTTTGTTCCATGATTGACTGCGTTCTATTTCGGTATAGTAGTTGTTTTTAATCGCTTCTCTGTACAGATAGGAATGGTAATGGTACATCAACCATCTTGGTCCACCGAGCACACTTGTAGTCGTTTTGCATCAGAGAATTCTTCGACATCGCCCATGAAAGTGTCCACCACAGTTGTGGATGAAACGTCGGGAAAACAACCCAACAGACCACTGCCCATCAGCCAGGATAACAACCCACCTATAAATACAAAATTGGTTAACGAAATGTGAGATTTAAATTTCGATATACAATTTATTTGAAGGAATCCTTTGAATAAATAAAATACTTAAAAAATTTCTTTCTGTAAAATCTACAAACGAAATATAAATCAGAAGAAAAAGCTAAAATTGCCTACCTGAGGGTGACATTTGGTGCCCTCCGTTGGTGCCTGTGAAAAAAGGTACGAACAAGATTGCAAGGATCCTTTACGATGATGGTCAGATAAATAAGAAAAAAGATGCTAATTTATTTTTTACATACAATAGATACTATGTACTAATACTTATGTAATAAATACAATAAACAATTTTGGGTGACGTTTTGAAGTTTTTTTTTTGTTCTAAAGTTTGTGCAGTCTGAAGTGTTAAATAAATAAGAATTGTTGCTTTACGAAATGGTATAAGGGTTGGTAAAGATTTATGTAATACATTAAAATATTTGAAAACGTTTTTATAGGTCAGGTCACAAAGCGTTTATTATTTTGGCGGTTTTTCGATGTGGTGCGTTGTCTTTGCCGATTTATGGTCTTTTTTACCATAACTTTCGTGTTTGGCGTGTTGACTCTTGCTACCGCCTTCCTGCTTGTATTTTTTGTCTACTTTCTCGTTATGGCCACTTGCTTTTTTACCTTTTTTACCAGCTTCGTCCCCGGTCTTTCCAGCCTGTAATTGAGAAAGCGTTACGAGGATTTGCATTTTTTAAAGGTGATGGATATCTTAATATCATCCCCTCAAAATATCTACAGTTTACAAGGATAAAATGTAACGTAATTAGAGGGTGGTAAGCATGACGTTGAGTGCTGCACATTGTCTCACATTTTTAAAGTTGTCACTCCATTGGGAATCCCTTAAAACGTGATGAATGTCATTTTAAATATAAGAGTATTTACTCTCTATCCTTGAAGAACATAAAGCTGAGTGCTAATTACAATCTTGCATTTTTAAAGCAGTCAAAGAGTGATGAATGGCATCTCAAACTTATAAGTATCTTGAAAAACATAAAGTTGAGTACTAATTATAGTCTAAAGCGTTTAAAGCAGTCACTTCATTGAAAATTCCTTAAAGAGTGATGAGTAACGTCTCAAACTTATTGGTATCTACCCTCTATTCTGGAAGATTATAAGGTTGAGTGCTAATTATAGTCTAAAATTTTTTATGCAATCACTCTATTGGAAATTCCTTAAAGAGTGATGAGTTGCACCTCAAACATGTGAGTATCTACTCTCTGTTCTTAAGAAACATAAATTTAAGTGCTAATTAAGCCTATTTTCACATTTTCGAAGGAACTGCTCTATTGGAAATTCTTCAAAGTGTAATGAGTAGCTTCTCAAACATAAGAGTGTTTTACCTTCTATTATTGAGGATCTAGTCGCTTCTTGAGTGTCTACTTTCAAAGATAGGGACCTTAATAGTGGCACACATAACTTTATGCTCATATGGGAACATTTGCGGCAAATGAGACTGCTATTTTTCATTTATACACACAAAAGTTTGAATAGGTACTGAAGTAGCGAGTAGATTCTCAATACAAGAGAGTAGACACTCACATTGTTAAGAGTTTAAGTGTCTATACTCTTGCACTTTATATTTTAAACGGGGTGCATTTATTTTAAAAATGTGAGACCATCACTCAACTTTTTGCTTACCATCTAGAGAGTTTTGCATATCAATGAACTCAGATAGAAGAGACAGAAAAAGTGGTAGAAACATAAAACAAAGAATTTTAACCACACGAAATCGCTTTTATGTTCGTGAGGGGTTAATTCGAAAAGGATTATTAAAAGCGTATCCTTAGAGCAGAGCTCTCTACGAGTACCAAGCGTGGACGAATGGCAGAAATTACGGGGTGTTAGAAAAAAACAGGAGAATAGAGGAGATGGTGTGAAATTAAGCAAGGAAAAGGAGAAATAAGGTGGTACAACAACTTCTGAGACATGACGGGCCAGTTAGGGACATATTAGAATCAAGAACAGGAATAAAAAAATGCAAAGAAGAAGACCTACAATAATAATCGCAAATATTCAAGACTATGGGTTGTTCTAGTTTGTGAGAAATTAAAAGAATAGCTCAGGAAAGGGAAAACTGAAAGTGAGTCGCCCTAAATTAAAAACAGTTAATTTTTGCTAGAGTTTTTCTCAAAAAATAAAATATTATCTCAATCAATTATTTCATCGCTACAAATTAAAGACTTTGTAACTTTACATACCTTGTGTTTCCCTTCTTCCACCCTGTCGTATTTTTGGGACTGGAATCGATTGTTTTTGGACCCGAATATTTGGAAATCTCCTCCTTTTTCAGCCTTACTGAAGAAACTGTCATGGGCATTTTTTTCGTTCTTGTGATACTTTTCCAAAAATCCCTGATAAACAAAAGAAAAACAATCAATTACTCATCAAAATTATACTTTTGCACGTTTAAAATTAAAAAGTGAATATTCAAGCAGGTACCTTTTTGTAATTTCCCTTAAAACGGGCCCCACCAAGCTTGAAGGCACCTGCATGGGCGTCATGGCCAGACTCCTGGTAGCCCTTGGCGTATTTGTCACTCGAGTGGTACTTTTTCTTTTTACCGCCCTTCTCTTCGTCATCTACCCTGTGAAGGTCGTGGGTAGAATGACCTTTTCGGGCAACCTCCGCATGAGTGCCCGACTTCTTACCTGACTTTTTTTCGTCGTTGTGACCATCATGATGAGATACTGCATAAAAATAAAGGTAAGAAAATTGACAAAAAAAAATATTTAATTACTTTATAAAGGTATATATACAGGGTAGTCCATTAAGTGCGCCTTGATTTCTAGCGGTTTTGCCATTGAAATTGGAAGAAAATGTTTCCAATAAAAAATGTTTCTGGTGAAATCATCCATTTCGCTGTTAAAAAAAGCATGAAACGCACTTGGCTTTCCATCTAAAAATTTCTTTTAAAGCACATTAAATCATTACACTAGTAATGTTCAAATTTTAAATGTTTCAAACACCAATAACTCATTTTTTCAAATGGGAAGCTATGTTCATTTTGATATCGTCGGATGCAAAATTAGATTCTCTTTCGATTTTGTTAAACCATATTAGGGTCTACGCATGACGGTTTTCAAAATAATTGCGATTTGTTAATTATTCTGTTATGTGCAGAGAAAACGGATTAATCCTAGGCGACATGGGTCTACAGCAGAAAACACATTCTATCATGAATTATTGATAAAATTACTTAAACCCAATACAACACGGACAACTAATGTCTTAAAAGATTGCTGTCACTTCACGAGCAGAAGTGAATGTGTTTTCGGCTGTAGACCCATGTCGTCTAGGATTAATCCGTTTTCACTGCACGGTACAGAATAATTAACAAATCAAGTCAAAAGAGAATTTAATTTGAAAAAAATGAATTGATTTTTGAAACATTTAAAATTTGAACATTACTAGTGTAATGATTTAAAGTGCTTTGAAAGAAATTTTTAGATGGAAAGCGAAGTGCGTTTCATGCTCTTTTCAAAAGCGACAGCCGTATCTTTTTATCGAGTATAATTTCCAAAATATTAAAAATTTTGCAAGGTACTACAAACGTCAAATTTCGTAGAAATTTCTAAATAACTCCAAAAAGATATCGCACAGACAAAAATTTTGCTTAATAAAGTGGACATTAAAATCGATGCTGAATTCAAAAATGTAATAATATACAGGGTGTTCTACTTAAAATAAGACAGTTGATGTGTACTTCCGGTATATCCGGAAGTCCGCCATATCTGAAACTATTTTTCGCTTAATAGACTACCCTGTAATTGAAATATATTTAAACGTCTAGGGGCAGGGATACCATATTTGTTCTTCGACTTGCTATGGTAATTCTTAAATAAAAAATTAAATTTAATAAATAGCAATAAGGAGTAATACAAATGAAATAAATAATAGATAACAAAATACTAGTAAAAATATGTAAGATAAAAAGTCATTTGTTAAAAACGGTAACGAAGATTTAGCAATGCCATCAACCTCTTTATTCTTTATTCTTTATTATATTGTATGTGGTTTGCTCAATAATAATTGGCCATGTAATTTTAGTAAATGTTACTAAAAATAGACAATACTCTGACAGCAAATAAGAAAACAACTTGAAGATAGATTGTGCAAAATACATGTAAGAAGTTAGCAGCTTTTGATATGTAATTGAAAGAAAAAATAAGTTCGGTTCGTTATCGATTTGGTGTTACAGTGGATTATAAAGTATAATAATTGTTAAAAAAAGTATTAGAAAACCTTTTTTGGCAGCTCCCTTCTTTTCTTCGTGATGGTGACTCGACTCCGATGTAGAAACGTTGAGAAGGACTAAAAGGCAAACAAGAAGCTGTAACGAAAGGAAACATGAGTTATTATCTATCTGTCATTGATTTTAAAATTTATAATTCAAACTTAACACAAAAAAAATAATTGAAATACAATGTGAACTCTATATAACGACACTTAAGGGACTGAATATTTTTCGGCGTTATAAAGAGTGGTCGATAAAGGAAGAGAGAAATAAAAGATAATATTTTACTATTCTATAATAATATGCATTTACCAATATAGTACAAATTTTGCACACGAACATTATTATTCATATATTGCGTATAGCCTGTTATCTTCGTCTGATGTTTTTTGCTGCTCCAATATTTTAATTGTATTTTGTTACGTATCTTACTCATATCTTGAGATACTGCTGGATCAATTTGATTATATAAAAAGTATTTTTTTAATAGTTTCGCTGCATCAAGTGCTTGTTTGATGCTTGGTGGAGGGACAGGATCGTCTTCTTCAACAACATACACAGCTGCAGTTCTTATCTATTTCGGAACTTAGAAAGTACTGCTTAATGATTTATAATGCCACATTGTCGTCGTTAAATAGAGTGAATGTGACGCTATATAGAGTGTAATATTGTATAGAAAACAATGTAAACCAACCAAAGTCAAGCAATTTCGACGTTTTAAGGAGTTTGTCGTTAAATCGGGTGACGTTATAAAGAGTTTACACTGTATTTTAAAACTATCATGAAAGCCTGTAAAATTTGTTAACACGTTACAACCATATTCACAAAAAATATATTTTTCAACGTATCACTAACGAGCATAGCAAAGAAATAATTGCTTTACGTAAAGGTAACAATGTTTTCGTAACGATTAGCGTAAATAAAGAATAAAACATCATCCCACATGAGTTATCGTTAAAACTATTTGCAGCACAGGTTTAAACATAAAAAGAAATTTATTTGTCTGCTAGCACAGTTTTCGGTGCACATTTTCCAAAATTAATTAAAGAACAAGAAACAGATGCCGATGATTTAACATAACATAAACGTTACCTTCAAATAAGCAATTCGGTATTCGAACAGGTTTGGTTTATGTGCTAAACTGTTCTCTTCCGGGTTGAATTAATTATTAGATATAAAATTAGCATTCTTTTAAACATGGAGAAGGAAGGTCAAACTTGACTGGAACTTACAGAAATAAAATAAGTTGCAGTACAATTACATTGATAATTATTTAAAACCATTTTCTTTGCGGCAATGTATCTCCTTCAAAAATGATTTATTATAAATAAAAAGCTTATTTTTAATACTAAAAGGATAAGTGATGAAAAAAAGGAAGTCGCTACATTTTTGACAACTATTTGCTACTCAAACCTCTGTGAATTTCAAAAATTGTTTTTAGCAGTATTTCTATAGATTTGAACCAAATTCAAGTCAAAACCAATGCAGTTTTTCGTTCTCAAAAACCTTTTCCCGTTATTGAAAAGGATATTGTAATGAAAAAGGATAAAAATTGGCATTAGTGGCTCTTCTATAACCTGACAAGAATTGCCAAAGTGTCTTCGGAACCTTTTCCTTGTTGTTTTGTTTGTTTGAACAAGGTTCACGTCAAAACGGATGGATAGACTTGAACGTGGTTTTCACTAAAGTATTTGGCACGTATGTAGAAATGCAATATTAAAAGTTTCATCCCCGTTTATCGACAATTAATGTACGTAATTTCAAGATTTGTATGTGGTAGTAAAGCTTTCGAAACCCTTTGCCTGTTCTTTTGCTTTTTTGAACAAGGTTCACGTCAAAACGGATGGACAGACTTGAACGTAGTTTTCACTAAAGTATTTGGTATGTATGTAGAAATGCAATAGTAAAAGTTTCATCCCCATTTATCGACAATTAATGTTCGTAATTTCAAGATTTGTATGTGATAGTAAAGCTTTTGAAAAACCTTTGCCTGTTCTTTTGCTTTTTTGAACAAGGTTCACGTCAACACGGATGGACAGACTTGAACGTAGTTTTCACTAAAGTATTTGGTATGTATGTAGAAATGCAATAGTAAAAGTTTCATCCCCATTTATCGACAATTAATGTTCGTAATTTCAAGATTTGTATGTGATAGTAAAGCTTTTGAAAAACCTTTGCCTGTTCTTTTGCTTTTTTGAACAAGGTTCACGTCAACACGGATGGACAGACTTGAACGTAGTTTTCACTAAAGTATTTGGTATGTATGTAGAAATGCAATAGTAAAAGTTTCATCCCCATTTATCGACAATTAATGTTCGTAATTTCAAGATTTGTATGTGATAGTAAAGCTTTTGAAAAACCTTTGCCTGTTCTTTTGATTTTTTGAACAAGGTTCGAGTCAGAACGGATGGACAGAATTGAACGTGATTTTCACTAAAGTATTTGGCATGTATGTGGAAATGCAATAGTAAAAGTTTCATCCCCATTTATCGACAATTAATATGCCTGATTTTTTGTATGATTTGTATGTGAAGTAAAGCTGCAAGAAAAAGCTCGTTCATAGTAAAACGCACAAGAAGGATATTGTCATGAAAAAGGATAAAAATTTGGATGTGGCTCCTATAAGCTCTTCTACAATCTGGCAAGAATTGCTAAAGCGTTTTCGGAAACGTCTCCCAAATGTTTTGTTTATTTGAACAAGGTTCAGGTCAACACCGATGGACAGGTTTGAATATGTTTTCCATCGATGCGGTGTTTTCTTCCGGGCTTTTTGATCGTGGTCCGTAGAATTTAACTTTTCCAAACGTTTCGCCGTTCTATGCTGACGGCATCTTCAGTGTTGACTGTGCAGTCGTAACTCAGCACCTCAGGACTACGGCCAAAAAGCCAGGAAGAAAACACCGCATCGATATTTTCCATCAGTAAAGTATTTAGCAGATATTTAGGAATATAGTGAAGTAGTTGCATTATAATAACCAGACCATAGGTAAACGTCAATTACGCCGATATTTCTCAACAAGTGCAAGCAAAAATCTAAAAGCTACTGAAAATTAACGTGATTTATTTCTTAGTAAAAACATACGTTAACTGTTTTTCTTTCAAATCAATCAAGTAGAACCCGACGTAAAGCAAATAAATGCATGCTGAAGTTATTACAGGCACAGTTGGATGTTTTATAAGTGGATTGTAAGTTTATTATTTTGCAATAAACCAAGTTAAATTTAGTCTACCAATCCACCCCGATATCTGCGAAAACCTTTAACGGTCCATTGGTCAAGTTATTGAACTGGATCTTACTTCCTATCTGACCCTATTTACGAACACGGTTTCCATTACGTAACAAGACCATTATTAAATTACAACTTGTTGCGCTGTGTTCTTCTCACTTGATTAATAATAATCTTCGAGAAACTTAAAATACGTAAAAATGCAATCGGCGAACACCGCCAAATGATATAAATATATACGTAATAAAAGCATTTAATAATGGCATTCTTTCTTTTGTTTTCTTGTGTACTTGATATACATGTAGGTACTCTACTTATAATTTGCAATGTTGTCATGTCAGAATTTAACTGTTGCTAAAATCTTTTTTGGAAGTTTTTCTTGAAGTGTGATATACAGACCTTGGACTACTTATGAGAGTTTGTACATCCATTGTGGGTCAAAAATTTTGCAAATGTCCTTAGCCAATTTCTAAGGAGATAATATTTATTGAATACGGTCCTGCATAATGTAGACTTACAGATACTAGAGTACGTCTGAAACTGTGCATAAAATACCTCTATAAATACTTGTAATAGGAATTTAGAAAATTATTTCCAAAAGAATTGTAACGAGGTTTTCTTTATTTTTTTTAATTATTTTAAAATTTCAAGGTAAGTTATCTTGCCTGGAACAACCTTCCACCAGACTGAAACATCGATTTAAATTTAGAATCACGATCGCGTTTTCTGTTAGAAAATAAATTTTATAAATAATCCCGAACTTTATTATTCTTAGCACTACTTCACAAACAATCTTTATGGTAAATTACAAAGGTGTTATTTTTAAACCGAAACAAAATCGAGAGCCATCCAACAATTACGTACATCCTTCAAAAGTTACCTGATTTTTTTTTACACTGGACATACATAAGTGACATAAAACAGTTATTATTAATGCTGATATCAATTTTGTTTTATTACTATTTTATATATAAGCGTAAACACAAAGTTTCAATTAAAGATACTAAACTAGCTGGTTAATGATTAACTGTTAACAGTTATTTTTTTGGAAACGAAATTAGAAAACAAAAAATACATATGCGAAGCCTAAAATAAGTCGAAACATTAGTTTTAAGAGCCAAGCGCCAGTATTTCTTACTGTTGAAGACACAGTGTTGATACCGTATAAAATATCTATTTTGAGATGCCATGAAATCAACAAGGATCTGGTTCAATCACCGAGAAAAATAGAACAGCAAATCTAAAGACAAATACACAAGAACGCTACAACATTGATGAGAAACTACAGGTGGCAAATGAAAGTGAATAAACAAACTGCAAAAATAATTATTTTAATGGTAAATTTCAATTCATGTAATTCCCATTGCAAACTGAATAATTAGGTTTTGCATTTCCAATGGAAAATTAATTTAACAATTTTATTTGGTCGACAACAAAATTCTCTTGCGTAACAAGCTTTAAAGTAGGTACGAATTATGCTGGTATATCTATCAGTCTATTTGTTTAATGATCGTTCGGAGATAATAACGAAAGCAACGGTTCAAACGTTTTTAAACACATGCACATAATACTGGTGTTTTTTCTTCTATTTGGAAAGATGCCAAAGGTTTTTTACCGTAGCAGTAGAACTTTTTTGCCCACAAAGCGGCTATACAAATTTTCATTTTGTTTACGAGCATCTTTGTCGGGAAATATTAAAAGCTATTTTTGACCACAAATACTAATTTAACACAGGAACTTGACGAAAAGAATAACAATCTAAAATAACCTAATAGCATAATAAAGACCTAAGTACGTTTGTAACAGTGATTATTGAAAAAACAATTGCAGTAGTTATTTGGCATGTTTTGTTTTTGAGTTTAAACATTAAGAATTTGCCCATCAGTTGGACCTTCAAAGCCCAATTCATAAAATTTTTCATAAGAAAAGTAAAAAATGTATAATATTGCTGTGCGATTTTAAATTTCACTGATTCGCTGCAGTTTTCTATTGTCATTATTAACGCTTCATTTTACAACCAGGTGGAAAATTATTTTAGTGTTTAAGAACTTGTTAGAATAGAAGCATTCAAAAAAATTGTTTTCTGTTACTATTATTGAAAATTATGAATAAAATTACTATTATTTCGAAGTATGAAGTAAAAAAAAATAAAGTAGCAGCTTTTATTTATTTTGTTATCACCAAAAATTGTTTAGGAAGTCGGTAACTAATATAAATATGTTAAAGATTCTTCAGACTCCACAAGGGTTGAAACAGAAACACCAAACGGATCGAATTCCTAAACACTTGTATTTCAGTGAAACATATTATCAGTTAGAAGATAGATACCTATTTAACAACGACAAGTGAAGCGTAAAATTCTAACGGCACCTCGTCCTGTTTTACGTAAATGCATTTAAAAATAAAATCTGGTGTATTCTGAGAAAATTGAAAACATACCAAAACAACGGCGATTTTCATTGTATTAACAGCAGTAGATAACACGCACCAAAGTACAAATCACAAATCTACGTCGCGCAGTACTCAGAAGAAACTCGCGGCTAAAACTCGCGTTCCCCGTGGAAGAACAAGCAGACAGCCAACTCTCAGCAAGCCAAAGAGAAAAGGAGGGGAACATGCTGGTACTATGGTACCTGGCTCTGATCTTATAAAACTAATTATAATACGTCATCACAACAAAGGAAGTTCACCTGCTCAATTAGATACAAATACCTTGGCTTCACGGCCCACCAAGACAACATTCTACGCACATACATGGGCAACTCAATGATGGTAAAGGACATTAGGAACCAGTTCTTGGAATAGGACCCAGAAGTACATGTATATGTATTCGTTTGCATGAGAACACGAAGGAATAGTTAAAATGGAAAATGTTCCTTTTATTTTTTTGGTCGCAAAGCAATGATAAGAGGACGAAAACTATCAATTATTTAAAGATAAATAATAAAATATTCAAGCTAAATATCTTACACATATGTAGTTCACTTCTATGCTCGCGAACGGTTAATTTAGAAATTCGAAAAAGGTTGTTAAAGGTGTATGTTTGGAGCACGGCGTTGTACGGGTGCGAAACATGGACAGTGGGCGCGGCGGAAAAGAAAAGGTTAGAAGCGTTCGAAATGTGGTGTTATAGGCGGATGATGAGAATATCGTGGGTAGAAAAGGTTAGAAATGAAGAGATGTTAGAAAGAATAGGAGAACAGAGGACTCTATGGAAAACAATAAAAAATAGGCGAGATAGGTTGGTAGGACACCTTCTCAGGCATGAAGGTCTAGTCAGATATATATTAGAGGCAAAAACAGGAGTTAGGAGGTGCATAGGTAGACCTAGGTTAGATTACTATTCGCAAATAATTAAGGATGTGGGATGTTCTAGTTTTAGGGAAATGCGGAGTTTAGCTCGGGATAAGAAAGAGTGGAGGTACGTGTCCAACCAGTCTTAGGACTGACGACCTTATGATGATGATGATGATTTTTATATTCTATACATTTGAATTTCATTGGTTTATAAATTAATTTACAATTCCTGAAATTAATACTGACTTATGTACGTATGGGCGAAGTATTTTAAATTACAATTTAAAACCTCCAGAAAATGCGTCAGAACTAGGGCAGAACCTTGGAAAAGTGTAGTTTCGCGACGTTTCCTCATCGAAGGTTAAATATTCCTTCATTTGTCTTGTTCAGATTAGGACTTTGTATTGGTAAATTTCCAGTTTACATTGATTTTAATTCTTGCTAATCAATCTACCGACAAATTATTCGCCAAGCCTATAAGCAAACCATCAATTTCATTTGTCAAACAATTAACTTCAATATACAGAGTGTTCTTCTTAATAATTTTACTTCTAAAACCAGACAGGCATTCTTCACTATACGATAAGCAATTTTCAACTATTCGACAATTCTACAGTTCTTATCTTACTTCACGAAAAAAAATATATATAAAATTATACTTGTAGTTTATCTACATCCAATACTAAGCATTGATCTTTGTTCCAACAGGAACAGGCACTGTAGGTACAGTAGTTTTTATAAAATTTTACACATTAGAGAAACAATAGTTTTACTTTCTAAATTGGCAACGCCTAATACGTTAAATTGATTAGATATGGAGTAAAATGCAAGCCAGACAGTTGAAGAGTTCTCTTTTTTCAACGAGTGTGTATGAAACAGATTTTCTGATATTGCAACCCTCAATAATAATACATAAAGCCCTTATCTGCACGATTTTAGTTAAGAATTTAGACGCATGGAAAGTTAAGATAATTGTTATAAATTTTGCTCATCTTTTGGCGCCTTTCCTTTCTGGTATGAGTACTACCATGTTCTTCCGTTTATATTCCTCCGGGATTTTCCCCGGAATGTTAACACTGTTCTCAAATTTGCACAAATTTCTACTGATGTTGAGTGCCTAGTCTACTTTTATTTGTATTGAAAAATGAACCAAAATGTTAAGTACTTGACAATAATTATAATCAAGTGGACACAACATATTTAAGAATTGCTCAAAATTATTGTTGTTGTAGAGTGTAATGACTTTTGCATGACTAAATTTAAAGAAAAAAGCCACAAAACGTGGTGTTACACTTTTTACACATTGCTTATTGATCTCTAGAACTTTCCCGTTACATACTTTTGCATGTCCAGTAACAGAAGTAATTACAAAATATTTCTACTATAGGCGAAGGCTTATTACGAAATTCAACTCAATAATAACGAATAAAATTGATGCAATCGCCAACCTGGCCGATCCAATTCTCAAAAATCAACTAGCAGTGCACACACAATGGACTATTAGGTGCTAGTTAATATGTAAAGTTAATTTGGTTTTTCTCATTTCAAAAAATTAGTCTGTGCTTCTTTAGTTGATCGGATTCTTTTCAAAGGAAAAAGTACAATTTTAAAAAACTCCTCTGCATGGTTTAGAAAGTTGGTTTTAATATGTAAGTACTTGTTTGTGTACATACATAGGTACATTAATTAATCTAGTTTTTGGTGTCTCTACAGCACATTATTTTTTTATGATATTACAGAAGAAATACCAAAAGTAGAATACAACTACCTATGTATGTTACAAGCACATGCGTATATAGGACATTTTATTTTGTTTCTGTATGTTGTAACAATAAATAATAAATTTGCTTGAAACTGCTTTATCCAAGGCATTATCAATTTACTACATCTAATCCACAATTTCGTTTTGATCCATGATCTTTAGGAGACAAATTATTATAGATCAAAATTTAACAACTTTATGAACAACGAATTTGGTTAAACTTTACATAAGTTCTCGTTTTTATTTTTAAATAAACAATTTACGTTTTCCGATCTGCAGATTTGGAATAATACTTTTTACACTTTTTCAATCGTAAGTCAAATAATGAAAGATTATTGTTCAAAAATTTACGCTTAATTAAAGTAGTTTACAGAATGAAACTAACACCAGATCGAACTAGAACGTTGTTCATAAAATGACAATTGTATTGACCAATTATAGTACACCAATTAGAAACATAAGAAAAACGAAAAGAAGTTGCACAATTTGTCATCCTAACTCAGCCAAGCAACAAACATTACAACCACAAACAGAGATAAAAAAACAATAAAAATACCAAAAACTGTAAAGCAGTTGTTTGTTGTGTGGAAATGTTGGCTTTCCACAAGAAAATTTTTAAAAATTCATTTCCGTTTTACAACAAACAAAAACATTACCACAATTATTTTGTTTGGATTTCCTCTCTAAAATATTAAAACAAGTAACTTTGAATCTACAAAAACTGGGAACTTTTTTTCTACCCTTAGAAAATTTTATGATCATGTAAAAGAGTAGTCTTTTGGCGGAGTTTAGGCATATTCTGGGTTTGATTCCCTATGAAATTCCTAAATAATGTTTAACTTTCAATTTTTACAAGAATTACATAACTGGAATTCGGAGCTACTCTGGTTGAACCACTGGAAAGAGTATAAACTTGAGAATTGGTTAAAATGGAGCCGAAATTCTTAATTATTTTCTTCCATTATGCAAAAGCTTATTTTCATTAAAATACATATTACCTTACGACATCCTCCTGAGCTTTTATATCGAACGAATTTTAATGAGCTTTTACCACTGTAAAAACGGAAATTTTGAGTGTCCAAGTCTGACAGTTTGTTAAAAAGCAGCCGAAGTTACAAATCATTTTTTTCGATTTCGCGAAAACTCGTTTTGGCCAAAACACATGTCACGTTGACACCTTGTCGCGTTTTTATGTAAGTAGAACAAATATAAATTAGTTCGAAACATTGTAAAGTGGAAAATTTGGACAGTCCAAAACTTATTAAAAGAAACTAGAAATTGTGAACCATTTCCTTCGACTTTGCAAAAAGACATTTCCATCGAAAGTCATGTCATCTTACGACACCCTGCCCAGCTTTTATATCAAACGAATTTAAATTTGGTTGCACCACTGTAACGAAGGAAATTTTAGGTATCCAAATTCGACTTCGAAAAAGTACATTTCCATCAAAACGTATGTCACTTTACGACATCCTGCCGAGCTATTATTATATTACACAAACTTAAATTGGTTTGTACCATTGTTAAGAGGACAATTTTGGGTATCCAAATCTGAACATTTGTAAAAAAATAGTCGAAGTTATAAATAATTTCCTTCGATTTCGCAAAAACCCATTTGGTCAAAACACGTGTCATCCCTGTCGCAGTTTTATATCATACAAATTTAAATTGACTTTACCCACAGTAAAGAGGAAAATTTTGCACATCCAAATTTGAAAATTTGTTGAAAATGATAGGAAATTTTGAATGATTTTCTTCGATTTCGCGAAAATACGTTTTCGTCAAAATACATGTCACCTTGGGACACTCTACAAAGCGGGAAGTTTTGAGCAAATGATTACAAATGAACTAAAATTATGAAATATTTAGTAATATTTTTGGACCACTGAAACCGAAAATAAGACAAATACGGCTTAAATAAAATTAACGTCTTTCAATAACAAATTTTTTGCAAATATTTCCTCCAGATAATGGAAAACTACAAAACAGACCGATAAGGGTTAATTTTCTCGAAACACAATTAATTTATCTAGGTTCCTCTGTATGTAATGTATTGCTTTTTAAATATTAAAACTAAATGCGTTTTCAGCGTTCAAAATAGGCAGCCCAAGAAACAAGTATGATATAAACATGCAGTAGAGTAGCAATTTCGTTAATAAATAAATAATTAGTTAGTTTCCGTCGCGCAAAATTTAAACTTGATTCCGAAACTTTACTCCTTAAGTATTTATAAATACAGCAGTTATATACAACAAAAGAAAAAAAGAAAACAAAGAAGAAAAAAGAGAAACCAAGAAGCTATTTTACTCTCTTTGATATAAAAATATTTATTTGCATTTAATTTGAAATTAACTGTGCAATATTAAAGACAGTTTCACCTGACCGCATTCACGAATCATCCAAAGTGTGAAACAACGAAGACAGTTGAAGAAACAGCCACTGATTGGGTCAATTAACCAAAACAATTTCGTAAAGGGTTCCCTGCTGTAACAATTTCTTTTCACTTGTTTCTAAAACTAACTTACTTCATCAAATTCTATTTAGAAATTT